GCGATGCTAACTAAGTTACCAGGTAACAACTTCTATGGTTACAGTAAAAAAAATACGTACTAAAATATTAGTTTAACACATTTTGGACACATAAATGTAACGGGATGTCCCCACAGACTCGCTTTAATCTGTTTCGTGTCGCCTACCGTAACTTTCTGGCACTTTAACTAACTCTGCTGCTAACCCGAGCTAGCATGCCAACCACTTGTTGCGCTTACTTCTGAGCAGCGGAGACGTCTCCTTCTTCACATACTTCCCGTGGACCTCGGCTGGTTTGGACGCTTCGTTTTTACTTTTCTTTCGTGAGAGCATAACTCAAAGCTCGGACAAGTCAACAACACGGCGCAGTAAAGTCATGTTCCGACCCCTCGACTCCGCAACCATCCCGGTCAGTTAGTAAAGATAGGAGGGTCAACATGTTAGCTCCAGGTTAGCCGGCTAGCAGCTAGTTAGCCAGCTAACGGTGGCTAACGGATGAGTCGTTCCTCCGCTGGTCGGGTCCGCTCTGAACACCGCTGCACCTCCCCCTCCCCCTCCCCCTCCCATCACAAAACACTAACTGGATATTTTATGAGTGTGTGTAGCTCTATCCTGTTGGGAAATTATTACAATTCATTTCTATGTTTTACTTCCTGGGGGTCCACTAACCCTAACCCTAACTCTCTCTTCCTGGGGGTCCACTAACCCTAACTCTCTCTTCCTGGGGGTCCACTAACCCTAACCCTCTCTTCCTGGGGGGTCCACTAACCCTAACTCTCTCTTCCTGGGGGGTCCACTAACCCTAACTCTCTCTTCCTGGGGGTCCACTAACCCTAACCCTTTCTTCCTGGGGTCCACTAACTCTAACCCTAACCCTCTCTTCCTGGGGGTCCACTAACCCTAACCCTTTCTTCCTGGGGGTCCACTAACCCTAACCCTAACTCTCTCTTCCTGGGGGTCCACTAACTCTAACCCTAACCCTCTCTTCCTGGGGGGTCCACTAACCCTAACCCTTTCTTCCTGGGGGTCCACTAACTCTAACCCTAACCCTCTCTTCCTGGGGGTCCACTAACCCTAACCCTTTCTTCCTGGGGGTCCACTAACCCTAACCCTAACTCTCTCTTCCTGGGGGGTCCACTAACCCTAACCCTTTCTTCCTGGGGGTCCACTAACTCTAACCCTTTCTTCCTGGGGGTCCACTAACCCTAACCCTTTCTTCCTGGGGGTCCACTAACCCTAACCCTAACTCTCTCTTCCTGGGGGTCCACTAACCCTAACCCTTTCTTCCTGGGGGTCCACTAACCCTAACCCTTTCTTCCTGGGGGTCCACTAACTCTAACCCTCTCTTCCTGGGGGTCCACTAACTCTAACCCTTTCTTCCTGGGGTCCACTAACTCTAACCCTTTCTTCCTGGGGTCCACTAACTCTAACTCTCTCTTCCTGGGGGGTCCACTAACTCTAACCCTTTCTTCCTGGGGGTCCACTAACTCTAACCCTCTCTTCCTGGGGGTCCACTAACTCTAACCCTTTCTTCCTGGGGGTCCACTAACTCTAACCCTTTCTTCCTGGGGTCCACTAACTCTAACCCTTTCTTCCTGGGGGTCCACTAACTCTAACCCTTTCTTCCTGGGGTCCACTAACTCTAACCCTTTCTTCCTGGGGTCCACTAACTCTAACTCTCTCTTCCTGGGGGGTCCACTAACTCTAACCCTTTCTTCCTGGGGGTCCACTAACCCTAACCCTTTCTTCCTGGGGGTCCACTAACCCTAACCCTAACTCTCTCTTCCTGGGGGTCCACTAACCCTAACCCTTTCTTCCTGGGGGTCCACTAACCCTAACCCTTTCTTCCTGGGGGTCCACTAACTCTAACCCTCTCTTCCTGGGGGTCCACTAACTCTAACCCTTTCTTCCTGGGGGTCCACTAACTCTAACCCTCTCTTCCTGGGGGTCCACTAACTCTAACCCTTTCTTCCTGGGGGTCCACTAACTCTAACCCTTTCTTCCTGGGGGTCCACTAACTCTAACCCTCTCTTCCTGGGGGTCCACTAACTCTAACCCTTTCTTCCTGGGGGTCCACTAACTCTAACTCTCTCTTCCTGGGGGTCCACTAACTCTAACCCTTTCTTCCTGGGGGTCCACTAACTCTAACCCTCTCTTCCTGGGGGTCCACTAACTCTAACCCTTTCTTCCTGGGGGTCCACTAACTCTAACCCTTTCTTCCTGGGGGTTCCACTAACTCTAACCCTTCCTTTTGTACATTAAAATAAATATTTTACATATTTAATTCTATGTCTTGTAATCTTTAAAGGAGTACCTCAAGGTTCGGCTCAGAGCCCACTTTTATTTACTGTCAATCAATCTTTATTTGTATAGCTAATTCATGACACATTTTACCTGCAGACATTTTTATCTTTATTTAAAGAGATAAAGATAAATTTATTGATCCCTACTGGAGGACAGTTTTACGTTACAACAGTTAAAAAAACTGTCAAGAATTTAATTAGCAAAAATAGCAAAAAGTAAAAAAAAACATTTACATTAAATAAAGGGGCAGCAGGGGTCAGTCCATCTGGTCTACAGGGGTCAGTCTGTATCTGGTCTACAGGGGTCAGTCTGTATCTGGTCTATAGGAGTCAGTCCATCTGGTCTACAGGGGTCAGTCTGTATCTGGTCTACAGGGGTCAGTCTGTATCTGGTCTATAGGAGTCAGTCCATCTGGTCTACAGGGGTCAGTCTGTATCTGGTCTACAGGGGTCAGTCTGTATCTGGTCTATAGGAGTCAGTCCATCTGGTCTACAGGGGTCAGTCTGTATCTGGTCTACAGGGGTCAGTCTGTATCTGGTCTACAGGGGTCAGTCTGTATCTGGTCTATAGGAGTCAGTCTATCTGGTCTACAGGGGTCAGTCTGTATCTGGTCTACAGGGGTCAGTCTGTATCTGGTCTATAGGAGTCAGTCCATCTGGTCTACAGGGGTCAGTCTGTATCTGGTCTACAGGGGTCAGTCTGTATCTGGTCTATAGGAGTCAGTCCATCTGGTCTACAGGGGTCAGTCTGTATCTGGTCTACAGGGGTCAGTCTGTATCTGGTCTATAGGAGTCAGTCCATCTGGTCTACAGGGGTCAGTCTGTATCTGGTCTACAGGAGTCAGTCTGTATCTGGTCCACAGGGGTCAGTCCATCTGGTCTACAGGGGTCAGTCTGTATCTGGTCTACAGGGGTCAGTCTGTATCTGGTCTACAGGGGTCAGTCTGTATCTGGTCTATAGGAGTCTGTCTGTATCTGGTCTACAGGAGTCAGTCTGTATCTGGTCCACAGGAGTCAGTCTGTATCTGGTCTACAGGGGTCAGTCTGTATCTGGTCCACAGGGGTCAGTCCATCTGGTCCACAGGGGTCAGTCTGTATCTGGTCTACAGGGGTCAGTCTGTATCTGGTCCACAGGGGTCAGTCCATCTGGTCTACAGGAGTCAGTCTGTATCTGGTCTACAGGGGTCAGTCTGCATCTGGTCTACAGGAGTCAGTCTGTATCTGGTCTACAAGGGTCAGTCTGTATCTAGTCTACAGGAGTCAGTCTGTATCTGGTCTACAGAGGTCAGTCCATCTGGTCTACAGGGGTCAGTCCATCTGGTCTACAGGGGTCAGTCTGTATCTGGTCTACAGGAGTCAGTCTGTATCTGGTCTACAGGGGTCAGTCTGTATCTGGTCTACAGAGGTCAGTCCATCTGGTCTACAGGGGTCAGTCCATCTGGTCTACAGGGGTCAGTCTGTATCTGGTCTACAGGGGTCAGTCTGTATCTGGTCTACAGAGGTCAGTCCATCTGGTCTACAGGGGTCAGTCTGTATCTGGTCTACAGGAGTCAGTCCATCTGGTCTACAGGGGTCAGTCTGTATCTGGTCTACAGGAGTCAGTCTGTATCTGGTCTACAGGGGTCAGTCTGTATCTGGTCTACAGGGGTCAGTCTGCATCTGGTCTACAGGAGTCAGTCTGTATCTGGTCTACAAGGGTCAGTCAGTATCTAGTCTACAGGAGTCAGTCTGTATCTGGTCTACAGAGGTCAGTCCATCTCTGGTCTACAGGGGTCAGTCCATCTGGTCTACAGGGGTCAGTCCATCTGGTCTACAGGGGTCAGTCTGTATCTGGTCTACAGGAGTCAGTCTGTATCTGGTCTACAGGGGTCAGTCTGTATCTGGTCTACAGGGGTCAGTCTGTATCTGGTCTACAGAGGTCAGTCCATCTGGTCTACAGGGGTCAGTCCATCTGGTCTACAGGGGTCAGTCTGTATCTGGTCTACAGAGGTCAGTCCATCTGGTCTACAGGGGTCAGTCTGTATCTGGTCTACAGAGGTCAGTCCATCTGGTCTACAGGGGTCAGTCCATCTGGTCTACAGAGGTCAGTCCATCTGGTCTACAGGGGTCAGTCCATCTGGTCTACAGAGGTCAGTCCATCTGGTCTACAGAGGTCAGTCCATCTGGTCTACAGGGGTCAGTCCATCTGGTCTACAGGGGTCAGTCTGTATCTGGTCTACAGGGGTCAGTCTGTATCTGGTCTACAGAGGTCAGTCCATCTGGTCTACAGGGGTCAGTCTGTATCTGGTCTACAGAGGTCAGTCCATCTGGTCTACAGGGGTCAGTCTGTATCTGGTCTACAGAGGTCAGTCCATCTGGTCTACAGAGGTCAGTCCATCTGGTCTACAGGGGTCAGTCCATCTGGTCTACAGAGGTCAGTCCATCTGGTCTACAGGAGTCAGTCCATCTGGTCTACAGAGGTCAGTCCATCTGGTCTACAGAGGTCAGTCCATCTGGTCTACAGGAGTCAGTCCATCTGGTCTACAGAGGTCAGTCCATCTGGTCTACAGGAGTCAGTCCATCTGGTCTACAGAGGTCAGTCCATCTGGTCTACAGGGGTCAGTCCATCTGGTCTACAGGGGTCAGTGTTTCTCCGGTCAGGCTGACGCAGCTCCCGGTCACCGCCCCTTCCTCTCTCAGACACTTTTCAAACCGGAGCCGGAGGAGGAGGAGGAGGAGGAGGAGGAGGAGGAGGAGGTTTAGGATGTTTCAGAGGACACAAAGACGAGCTGCAGACAAACCTCAGAAAGTCCAGACTCTGAGTTTTGACTTAAACGGGTCCAACAAGAGGACTATTGAATATCTGACGGTTTAATGCGACGAATCACGACGAGCCCTCAGGAGAGACGTTCGGACTTTCTATGCTCGCTTTATTCGATTAATCGGAGCTGCAGAAGGAGAGTCGTTTGGTCCTTGTTCGGTGAGTGTTTGATCTGTTACTCTTCAAATCGCCTGATTTCCTCTTTATTGCACTTTGAGACGTTTCAGGATGTTACTACGCATTCATGGAGCGTCAAAATAATCGGAAAAACGAGCTCCTCCTGAAAACGGAGAACAACAACATACAGAACGTCGTAAAGATATAACTTAAGAAGCGAACTATTTCTAAGTGGAGCGACTGGATGGTTCGTTGAACACACTGCTCTCTGTGTGTGGCTCATTGAATGTCTTTACCTCGTTTTTAGATTGAAGTGTTAGTTTCCTTCCACGCACGATGACCCTGAGCTGTACATGTGAAAACACATAAATTAAGCCTCCATGTTGTTTTCTGTTCACGACTAAAAGTTCGTGAATGCTCTGAAAACGAGAGAATGACTTTGTCACTCTGAAAGTGGGATAATCCGAGGAGCACCTGAATGCAGCATTAGCCCGGTTAGTTTAGCCCACCTATCTATCTTCAGCATATCAGAAGTGAAACATTCCGAAGTCGTGTGTGTGTGTGTGTGTGTGTGTGTGTGTGTGTGTGTGTGTGTGTGTGTGTGTGTGTGTGTGTGTGTGTGTGTGTGTGTGTGGTGTGTGTGTGTGTGTGTGTGTGTGTGTGTGTGTGTGTGTGTGTAGTTCTTTCTTTGATTTTAAAGGAGATGAAAGAATTTGAGAGAGAGAGCATTTTTAACAGTTCATGTTTTCATCTTTATTTATCTATGCAGTGAGTTTCAAAGACTGACCTGGGTCAGCGTTTGTGTGTTGGTGCTGCTGAGCACTCTCTGAACCTCCTTCTCGTGACCTGGACTGATTCTGTGACTGCAGCAGCAGATGTCAGATCGTGGTGATCTTGCGAGCCGAGCAGGGGGGCGTCCAGGGGGGCGTCCAGGGGGATCGTCTCCTGTTGACTGAAGGTGGTAGGGGCTGAGAGCGACAACTTGTCGGATCACTTCCTGACTGTGTTCCAGGTTTTTCTCTGCACTTCTCTGCTGAGCAATGGGCTGTGCAGAGGCAGAATACTGATTTGGTTTTTGTCCCTATTGTTGTTTGGTGAATGGGCCCCCCGAGTCTCGGGGTGTGGGGGACACCTGGCGGGGCGCATAATGATGTCACAGGGACCAGCTGGAGAAGCAGCGGTCAGGGGTCAGTAGGGAGCTCTTTGCATAGACATTTAGACTCAAACAAAAGTTTGTTGGTTGGCTCTTAATCTCGAGCCTGAAGGTCTGAAAGCCATCAGGTTCATCTCTGAGCGTCTGACCGGACGGGAAGGGTTCACTTTAAAATGTTCCTCAAACAACGACTGACAGAGGGGCGAGAACGTTTAGTCATGGTGACAAACTTTAATCAGCCAGAAAGAAACCAGAGAAAAGTCTGCTCTGTTCCAGTTACAGTCCTGACTGGTTTATATCGTCCTGACTGGTTTATATCGTCCTCACTGGTTTATATCGTCCTCACTGGTTTATATCGTCCTGACTGGTTTATATCGTCCTCACTGGTTTATATCGTCCTGACTGGTTTATATCGTCCTGACTGGTTTATATCGTCCTCACTGGTTTATATCGTCCTCACTGGTTTATATCGTCCTCACTGGTTTATATCGTCCTCACTGGTTTATATCGTCCTGACTGGTTTATATCGTCCTGACTGGTTTATATCGTCCTCACTGGTTTATATCGTCCTCACTGGTTTATATCGTCCTGACTGGTTTATATCGTCCTGACTGGTTTATATCGTCCTCACTGGTTTATATCGTCCTGACTGGTTTATATCGTCCTGACTGGTTTATATCGTCCTCACTGGTTTATATCGTCCTCACTGGTTTATATCGTCCTGACTGGTTTATATCGTCCTGATTGGTTTATATCGTCCTCACTGGTTTATATCGTCCTGACTGGTTTATATCGTCCTGACTGGTTTATATCGTCCTCACTGGTTTATATCGTCCTCACTGGTTTATATCGTCCTGACTGGTTTATATCGTCCTGACTGGTTTATATCGTCCTCACTGGTTTATATCGTCCTCACTGGTTTATATCGTCCTGACTGGTTTATATCGTCCTCACTGGTTTATATCGTCCTGACTGGTTTATATCGTCCTGACTGGTTTATATCGTCCTCACTGGTTTATATCGTCCTCACTGGTTTATATCGTCCTCACTGGTTTATATCGTCCTGACTGGTTTATATCGTCCTGACTGGTTTATATCGTCCTGACTGGTTTATATCGTCCTCACTGGTTTATATCGTCCTCACTGGTTTATATCGTCCTGACTGGTTTATATCGTCCTGATTGGTTTATATCGTCCTCACTGGTTTATATCGTCCTCACTGGTTTATATCGTCCTGACTGGTTTATATCGTCCTCACTGGTTTATATCGTCCTCACTGGTTTATATCGTCCTCACTGGTTCAGACATTGTGTAGGGGCCCTCAGATCTGGAGTCTTGTCTGGGTCACAGAGTGAACTGAGTGAATCTTCAGTATTAAACTTACGGAGACAGTTTGATGTGATGACTTTGCTCTGCTGCTATTTGCAGTCCTGTTAGCTAACGTTGACCTGCTTAAGCCTCAGGTGACCTCTGCTGCGGATGGGACTGATGTCATCTGGGGTTACAAAGAGGTCTGGCTCTGTATCAGAAGGCTCTCATTGTTTTTCAATTACACAAGTGACAGCTTAGTCCATGTCCGTGTGACTGACTCTGTCAGCCCGTTAACGTGGTCTCAGTGACTGACTCTGCCAGCCCGTTAACGTGGTCTCAGTGACTGACTCTGCCAGCCCGTTAACGTGGTCTCAGTGACTGACTCTGCCAGCCCGTTAACGTGGTCTCAGTGACTGACTCTGCCAGCCCGTTAACGTGGTCTCAGTGACTGACTCTGCCAGCCCGTTAACGTGGTCTCAGTGACTGACTCTGCCAGCCCGTTAACGTGGTCTCAGTTTGAAGTCAGCGTTGTTTTTATGGTCTCTTTTGAAGGTTAAGGGTCAGGGTGAACTTTCCCTCTCATGTGCGTCTGGGTTTAAAACAGAGTCGCTCTCAGACTTGACCACATCTTTCAATTTACCTGATCGTCTAATCTTTCTAATTGGATTAACCAAAGCCGTCCCTGTAAATGTCTCCGAGCATGAGCAGTGTGCAGTCTTAGTCCCTCTGTGAGGACTACGTGCTGTTAGGATGGACGTTTCCATGACAACTCACTCCAAAACACTTTGGATTTGCTTCAGTGCATATTTTGAGCTTTCAGTCAGACGATCTTCTCTGTAACGTCATCTTTGATGGAAAGCGCTCCTGATCCACTACCGTCCTCTGAAAGTGTCCTGAGCGGCTCTGATTGTCGATCTGTTTCTGATCTCTGCAGAGATGGATCATTTTGTGAAGGTAAGATCCTTTTAGAGCAGAAAGAGCCCTAACCCTACATCGCTCTCTTCACCAGTCAAGCTACTGGTCGACCCCTGCCTTCAACTCTTTTCTGCGTTTCTCTCATATTTAACAAACATGAGGCGGGGTAGCTAGCGACTGTACTTTGAAGAACATGGCAGTTGTCTCTCCAGCCTTCATAGATTTGTTTTGTACCATCCAAACATTTGTCATAAACATGAACATCGCCGTGAGCCCGTCAGGGAGAAGAACCACATCCTTTATTAAACATAATTTGATCAAGCAGATTAGCTTCCCCGGATTACAGTCAGCTCCTGTCAGCCGGCTGAAGCTCCCGCTGAGAAACCTCATCGCTCGGACCCCAAAATAAAATGTGTCTCTTTATGGCTTTGTTTGGTACTGTCAGCGTCCATGACCGCCGTTTCAGAGCGCTTCTCACCAGCCCTCAGTGTTGCTAGGCTAACAAAGTTTGCTCGCAGCACTTCCCTTTCCCTCGGTAGTGACCGTGAAAATCTCACCAGGAAAACAGAACAAGTTAATGAATTGTGTTCTGACAGCAGCACATGAGTCCGATCAGAAGCCCCGCCCTTTCCAGATTCTGATTCAACAGATGACAGGTTGTTGTGTAGAGTCCCTAAAGGGTTAAATACCTGCAGCCTTTAAGGTGAGATAGATTCATGGTGTCTTCATCGTCTGTGATCTTTCTGTCCTTGTCCTTCAGGGCCGGCTGCTGTCCTGTGGGATGGACGACGCCCAGGAGCAGGACCACTACGAGGAGCGGCTCAAAGAACTTTTTAACAGTTTTGATGGCAGCAGCTGCGGCTCGCTGTGCCTGGAGGAACTGTCTGACCTCTGTGAGTCCCTTCACCTGGAAGAGGCCGCAGCAGCTCTGATGCAGACCCTGCTGCAGGACCAGGACCGGCGTGCTGCCAGGGTGAGTCACTTCAGCTCCAATCACAGCATCAGACAGCTTCAACACGTGCGTGCGTGTATCTGTATCTGTGTGTGGTGTGTGGTAGGTTGACGTCGTCTCTTGACGGTTTTTGCAGGTTGACTTCCAGCAGTTCAAGGAGGCCCTGATTCTGGTTCTGTCTTCGAGCACGGAGCCTGTTCCAGCAGAAACGGAGACCTTCCCTAGAGCAGGTAAAATCTGAATCCTGTTTTTGATATATTTTCTGTAAGATGTCCACATGTTCA